CAGTACAAGGGGAGGAGCCAGGCCAGTACAAGGGGAGGAGCCAGGTCAGCACAAGGGGAGGAGCCAGGCCAGTACAAGGGGAGGAGCCAGGCCAGCACAAGGGGAGGAGCCAGGTCAGCACAAGGGGAGGAGCCAGGCCAGTACAAGGGGAGGAGCCAGGCCAGCACAAGGGGAGGAGCCAGGCCAGCACAAGGGGAGGAGCCAGGCCAGCACAAGGGGAGGAGCCAGGCCAGCACAAGGGGAAGGCAGGAAGGGTGAGGAAGGCCCCGTACTGGACACGGCGGCGCTGAGGCCCCAGCTCACCCCGGTGAGCCCTGAGTCCTGGCTGAGACCCGGAGGGAGCTGAGGGCCGAGCTGTCCAGACGCCTGGTCTCCACCCGGAGCGCACGGGGCGTGTGCACAGAGCGGCGGCACCGCAGAGCATGGCCGCTGGCACGGCAGCTGGCCGGGGCTGGCCTGGGCCGACCCGAGTCGCAGGCCCGGGCTCTGCCTCGGACGCGGGCAGCCTGCCGTCTCTGGTCCTGAGTGACCTGAGGAGCCTCTTGGGGCCCCGTGGGCCAGGCCGCAGCTCCAGACCATCACCACTTGTGCTAACTTGCGCCTTCTGACCACTGCTAACGCTGAGAACCCCCGTCCCCCCAATGCCAGGGTGGCGCATGCTCCGCCTGCCTGGCTGTTTGGCTTAAGTCTTTGAGGCTTATTAGGCCTGACCATCCCAAATGAGCCAAACCATTTTTTCTAGTGGCCTGGGGTTTAACTCTGGGCCTTGCATCTGCTAGGCAGGTGCTTCTACTGCTGAGCCAGGCCCCAGCTCCTTTTGCACTGGTTATGTAGGGGCAGGGACGCACTTCCTGCCTGTTGCACACATGGAATGACATACACACCCCTGTGCACAGCTGCTTCTGTGGCAATGGGTCTCATGGGCAAGCATGGACCCACAATCAAACAATCATCTCAGCCTCTCATGCTAGGGCGAAGGTGCACCCACTGTATGCAGCAAATAGTTGAGAGGGGTCTTGTGAATTTTTTCACTTGTTCTGGCTATGAACTATGATCCTCTGGATCTCAGCCTTCTAAATAGCTGGCATTACAGGCGTGAGCCACAAGCATGCACCAGAATCCCATCGGACTGCCGAAGTTAAACACAGGCATAGAAAACCACGTGGGCTCAGAGAGCCCCAAGGGGAATGTCTTCGGGAGAGAGCCACTTCCACGTGGAGCCTCTGGGGCCGCGTGTGCCGCGACTGAGATCTGTGAGCAAGGAGGCAGAGAACAGGGACGGGCGGGGGGGGCATGCTGTCCGGTGCCGCGACTGAGATCTGTGAGCAAGGAGGCAGAGAACAGGGACGGCGGGGGGGGGCATGCTGTCCGGGGACATGGCCTCATGTCCAGGTCACTGACAGAATCACAACTCCCTGGGAACCAGACGCAGATGGCAAGACAGCGGGCCCTGGAGGGCGGGCGTGTGTGTGTGTGTGTGTGTGTGTGTGTGTGTGTAAGAGCATGCATATGAGTGTGTCTGTGTGTAAGCTGACTCTCGCCTAGGGTGCTCACAGGCCAGTCAGCAGGCACCCAGCAGGCCACCCTCTGCTGAGAGGCCCCCCACCAGGGCGGAGCCCGCTGCACGAGGCTGCTGACGAGCCCGCGTGGAGTGGAGCCTGAGACCCACAACCGCCCCACTGGACGGCTCTCCTGCCCAGGGCAGAGCCCTCGGCTCCCTCCCTCTGCTCCTCCACCTTTGGGAACTGAGGTCAAGGGAGAGGGAGAAGCAGAGGCCTGCCGTGGTCCCGGCGCCGTGGCGGACGCTGGGGTAGCACGAGGAGCCACGTCGCGGCCTGAACGCAGGGGCGCCCCTGAGGTCTCCCCGCCAGGGTCTTCTCATGGCACAGGACGAGTCCACACGGCAGGAGGCACGCTCCTCCCCGTGAGCCCCCACAGAAACTCACGCCCCGCCCGAGGCAGACGGCAATCCTTCAGCACACGAACAGCCACGGTCCTGACCACAGATCAGGATGTCCTGGGCACGGCGCGCTGCTCTGGGCACTGATGGCTCAGGCTGTAATCCTCACTACTTTGGAGGCTGAGATGCAAAGGATCAGTTTGCTAGCGTGGGCAGAAAATCCCCAAGACTCCACCTCTAGAAAAACTACCAAAGAACTGAGCTGAGAGGTAGCTTACGCAACAGAGCACCAGCCCCGCGCACGCGAGCTCAGAAAGTGCAAGAATCTGACTTTAAATCTGCATTAGACAAAAACAGACCAAGCAGGGTGTTTCCCTGAACACATGTGCATGTGCATGTGCGCGCACGCACGCACGCGCACACACACACGTGCGCACACACAGCCCAGGCGGCCTCCTCCGGGGGCTGGGCAGCGCAGGCAGCCTGGCCCCGGGTCCTGCCCATACCTGCGGGGATGATGCCAATGCGGAGGGGGCTGGGGACCAGCGCGGCCCGGGGGTGGTTCTGGTCCACGCCGGCGCTCTTCTGCGTCCTCCCGATCAGACCGTGCAGCACCTCGCTGAACATCCCGTCACCGCCCACGCAGACGATACTGGGGAGGGCAACAGCACACCAGAGCCCATAATGCATTTGCCCCCGGCTTTGGTGGTTCTGGAGGTACAACGCAGGGCCTTGCACCTGCCAGGCAAAGAGCTCTACCACTTGAGCCCCACCTCCAGCTTTTTTTGCTTTAGTGACTTTTCAAAGAGAGTTTGTGCCCAGGTCAGCCTAGACACTGGTGCACCTATTTGTTTCTTGTGTAGCTGGGATGGTTGATGTGTGTCACACCTCCCCGCTTTTGCTGGCTGAAATGGGGTCTTGTGTACTTTTGTTCAGGCTGGTTTCTAACTGCACTGCTCCCAATCTCTCCCTCTCTAGAAGGATTACACGAGCAAGCCAGACCCCCACAGCCCATGGGAACCGGGACCTGAGTGCCAGGAGGCAGCTTGCAAGTTTGGGCCTAGCAGGCGTCTGAGAAGGTGATCTTAAACCTTCCCTGGGTGGCAAGGTGGCAGGGTGGCGGCTCCGCCCGCTGCTCTCCTGCCGGACCCTGGCACTGCAGCACTGTGAACGCCTGTGTGACCAGATGAAAACATTCACAACTCAGGCGCCAATGGTGTTGCTCATGGCAGAGCGCTTGCTAACACACACAAGGCCCTGGGCTCAGGCCTCAACACTGCAACAATAAAAAGTAAAAGCAAAAACAATGCAACAACGGAAAATCCTTAAACTCTTGAAGATTGAAGCCTGCTGGGCAGCACAGCAGAGCCGAGTAGCTCCATTATCTCCTAAAGGCGGGCATGGGGCGGCCGGCGGGGTAGGAGCCTGCCACCGGTCCTTGTCCTCTTCTGGTCCACCCACAGGCTGCCTTCCTGCGCATGGCACTGGACCTCACTGTCACCCCTGGGAGTGGCCTTGCGGGTTTGGACATAGGAGAGGGGAGAACGAGTCAGGGCTGAGTGGGCAGGACCAAGAGCAGGAGGAGAGGAGGAGAAGAAGCCCAGAATGAGGTGTGTGACAGGTGTGCTGTCTGGGGCTGGAGATGACAGGGTCTGTGTGAGCAGCATGGAGACGTACGTGTGTGTGTGTGTGTCCATGCACACGTGTGTGTGCAGAGACATATCCTGTGAGCCTAGAGAAGATAGAGGGCATGTTCAGAGCCTGGGGCCATCTGACCGATCTGACTCAGGAAGCTGAGACCACCTGGATAAGCCAGCCTGGATAAACAAGGCTGTGAGATTCTCAGCAAAATGCCAGACTGGAAATGTGTGGTTCAAGTGGTAAAGCGCCAGCCATGATTAAGAAAACGGAGTGAGAACGTGAGGCCTGAGGTCAAGTTGGTACAGGCACAGCATAAATAACTGCAGCTCCTACCCCCACACAAAGCCACAAGCTGAAGCTGTGGCCCAAGTGGCAGAATGCTTGCCCCGAGTTCAAACCCCGGCACCACCAAAGTAAGAGTAGTAAGAACAACAACTAGGGAACACCATTAGTGCCACATTAGCAAAGCAGGACACTGGACTACAGACAGACACCATTGCAACTTCAGGCAGCCCCACAGTGGGTTCCTCCTGTGTGGGCACTGAACTGTATGAAGACATCCGACAAAAGCCTGAACAGGAAGCCAGGGCTGCCCACAGCGGCTTACTCTGACAGCGGCGGCTGCGCCCCCACATCGTTGCCTTTCGTGGACTTGCTATAAGAAGCATGTTTACAGCTGGGCACTGGTGTCTCTCACCTGCAATTCTGGCTATTGAAGAAGCTGAGATCTAAGGATCGAGGTTCAACACTAGCCTTGGCAGACAAATCTCCAATCTTCCAGCAAAAAGCAGGAAGTGGAGGTGTGGCTCTAGTGGTAAAGCACCAGCCTTGAGTGAAAGAACCAAGTAGAGTGTGAGGCTCTGAGTTCAAGCTCCAATAATGGCACAAAAGGAGGAGGAAGAGGAAGGGAGGAGAAGGTGGAAGAGAAGGAGAAGGAAGGGGAAGAGAAAAGAGGAAGAGGAAGAGGAGGAAGAAAAGGAGGAGCCAGAGGAGAAAGAGGAGGAGGAAGTGGAAGAGGAGGGAAAGGAAGAGAATGAGGGGAAGGAGGAGGAAGAGGGGAAGGAAAAGGAAGAGGAGGAGGGGAAGGAGCTGGAGGAGGAGAGGGAAAGGAGGGGGAATAGGAGGAGATGGTGGTAGGCCTCCACTGGGACCACCGCAACAACCGAGAGAACAGACACTCACCCGTCATAGGCATCCACGTCCATCTCGTACAGAGTCTCCTTGGCTTGATTGGGGTGTTCAGTAACTGTGGGGAACATCACAGGGTACGGTTTATACACACATCTGGGAATCCATGTAGGTAAGAGGCCATACGCCGTTCCGTCACTGGTCACTGGGTGGTTGGGAGGCTTTCTGGAGGCCTTCCGGAGGAAACGGCCCCTCAGCTCTTACGGCCGCCCCCTCTGCCAGGGCCAGCTCTGTCCTCCTTGGGGGACGTCCCGGGCTGACACCTGCCAGCGGCTGACTTCGCTGTCAGCAATAATTTCTTTGAGGGTCGTGAACTCTGCACAGCTACCACTGTGTTTCTCCTGTTGTCGCGGTGGAAACAACGCGGAAGGGAGAAGGTCTCGGTGCCTGGGTCCCCGACACACAATTCTGCATCCTGCTTTTCCCTCTACCTCGATCATGTCTGGCCCTTGGTGCCCCCCCCCCCGCCCCGTGCCAGCGGGACGGAGGCGCACGCACTCACTGATGATGTCGGTGGTGATGGAGGCTCCCGTGGGCTCACGCCCGGTGCCCCCTCCTGTGCCCCCCCCCGGCCCGTGCCAGCGGGACGGAGGCGCACGCACTCACTGATGATGTCGGTGGTGATGGAGGCCAGTGTGAAGAGTGGCGCCACCTTCCTCTCGTAGATCCGCTTGCCGTGGCCTTTGCCCCCAAAGGGGTTGATGAACACCAGTAAGTGCTTAGGTCTCGAGGCTGCCAAACAACACCATCACGTAAGCCAATGACCATAACAAACACAAGCACCATGTTACTGACTCAGAGAGTGTGTGTGTGTGTGTGTGTGTGTGTGTGTGTGTGTGTGTGCACGCGCGCGCCCCAGTTCTGGGGCTTACCTCAGAGTCTGGACTCTGACCCTGAGCTTTTTTTTTCACTCTTACAACCAAGAGGAAAGCAGGCTACTCATAGCTATGATGAGAACCATGAGAACCACAACTCCACTTCTAGCTTTTTGGTGGTGAATTTGAGACAAAAGTCCATGGACTTTCTTGCTCAAGCTGGCTTTGAACATCTAATCCTCAGATTTCAGCCTCCTGAGTAGCTAGATTGACAGGTGTGGGCCACTAGGGCCCAACATCCCTAAGTATTCTTAAATGTGAAATATGATAATGATAAAGACTTTCCTATTGTAGCTAGAAATGTGGCTCAGTGGTAGAGTGCTTGCTTAGCACACATGAAGCCCTGGGTTCGAGTCCTCAGTACCACATAAACAAAAAGCCAGAAATGGTGCTGTGGCTCAAGTGGTAGAGTGCTAGCCTTGAGCAAAAGAAGCTCAGGGACAGTGCCCAGGCCCTGAGTTCAAGCCCCAGGACTGGCAAAAAAAAAAAAAGAAAAAGTTTCCTATTTTATGGAAAGAGAAAAGACACAGTCTAAGTGGGACAAGCTTTGAGCACGTGTGTGTGTAAAGAAGGTCCCAGGAATGTACAACTGTGTCTAAACAGGACCCAGCGTCTCCTGACCAGTGGGGGGGGAGGGGCTGCAGCCTCACTCTGCTCATGTGATGAGGGAAGCGTGTCTGCTGGGAACAGAAGCAGAGGCCGCGGTCCAGAAGGAAGCGTGGAGGAGAGCACGCACGCACGCCCGCACGCACGCACGCCCGCACGCACGCACGCCCGCCCGCGTGCACGCACGCACAGCGCACATACTCAGCCTCTGCAGCAGCTCTCGGAGGGTCTGCAGCCACAGCTGGCACAGCTGCTCCTCGGTGCTCCAAAAGGTCACCTGCGCCCACTTCCAGCGGTGATGTCGCGCCCTCTTCACGCAGTGCACTGCATGGAAAGCAACCCGGTCAGGGGGCCACAGCCCTGGTGACAGCCACTCTCCAGGAGCTCGCGTCCTTCTCGCTGGTGAGGGGATTCCCAACGCACATTACAAAAACAGGAGGGAAACTTCTCAGACCTTCTAAGCCACAGAGGGGACTAACAACAAAGAGAGTCTGGGCATGATGGCAGACGCCTATAATCCCAGCACTCTGGAGCCTGAGTGAGGATTGCAAGTTCAAGAATAGTGTGAGCTACACATCATGAGACTTCGCCTCAAACACACACACATACGTTAATAATCAATTAAAAACAATCAAATAAAGAAAACGACAAAGGCTGGTCAACAGCCTGAACATGAACTAAAAGCAGATCCTGGAAAACGTGTTAGGAAGATTCTACAGAGATAAATGAACCAGCCGCTGGGCTGGCTGACCCGTGGCCGGCCGTGTCCTTCCTGTCCCTGCACGGGGGAGACCCCGAGGCGGGTCACCTGTGAACGCGTAGGGCTTCTCCATTTTCTGCCAGCGGCCGCTGCCGGAGTGTTTCCCGTGGGCGTCCGTTTCCTCCACGGTAATGAGCTCGGACACGGGCAGGGAGCAGACATCTGCAAAGACACAGCCTTGTGGCCATGGCTGGCCAGACCCCGCGCCAAGGCCCGCTTGCCTAGAAACCAATCCCATGTTTTAACTCAGAGCTAGGTGACAGACATGGGTTGATGTTAGCCAAAGACGGGGTGTCTCACCCAATGACCCTCAAACATGGGCTGCAAATTGTCACAGGAGCTGCTGAGCCATTCAAGCAGCAAATGCTGACAGGCCAGCCCCTGTGCGGGACACAGGGAGCCAGGGCCACCAGGAGTGAAAGCGAGAGTTGGGCCTGACTCGGGAGGGCTCGGTCTGCTGCATGCATGCAGGACAGCCCTGGGCGTTTCTGACACGGGAGGCCTGGGTCTGCTGCATGCATGCAGGACAGCCCTGGGCGTTTCTGACGCGGGAGGCCTGGGTCTGCTGCATGCATGCAGGACAGTCCTGGGCGTTTCTGACGCGGGAGGCCTGGGTCTGCTGCATGCAGGACAGCCCTGGGCGTTTCTGATGCAGGAGGGCTGGGGTCTGCTGCATGCATGCAGGACAGTCCTGGGCGTTTCTGACTTGGGAGGGCTGGGGTCTGCTGCATGCATGCAGGACAGTCCTGGGTGTTTCTGACACGGGAGGCCTGGGTCTGCTGCATGCATGCAGGACAGTCCTGGGCGTTTCTGACGTGGGAGGGCTGGGGTCTGCTGCATGCATGCAGGACAGCCCTGGGTGTTTCTGACACGGGAGGCCTGGGTCTGCTGCATGCAGGACAGCCCTGGGTGTTTCTGACACGGGAGGCCTGGGTCTGCTGCATGCATGCAGGACAGTCCTGGGCGTTTCTGATGCGGGAGGGCTGGGGTCTGCTGCATGCAGGACAGCCCTGGGCGTTTCTGACACGGGAGGCCTGGGTCTGCTGCATGCAGGACAGCCCTGGGCGTTTCTGACACGGGAGGCCTGGGTCTGCTGCATGCAGGACAGTCCTGGGCGTTTCTGACGTGGGAGGCCTGGATCTGCTGCATGCAGGACAGCCCTGGGCGTTTCTGACTCGGGAGGGCTGGGGTCTGCTGCATGCATGCAGGACAGTCCTGGGCGTTTCTGACACGGGTGGGCTGGGGGCTGCATGCAGGACAGCCCTGGGCGTTTCTGTCTGACGGCTTAACATTTATTTTTATTGTGAAGGTCATGTACAGTTACAGGTGCACAAGTCAGGTAGCGAGTGCATTTCCTTTGAAAGTGTCACCTCTTCCCTCCTTTTCTCCCCGGTTTTCCCTGACCCCTCCCCACGAGTTGTATAATGCATTTTCAACACAATGTCTCATGGCCGCCACTGCTGCACTGGTTCACCCTGATGGCTTTTTGAAATAGGTTTCACTATGTAGCTCCAGCTGGCCTCTAAGTCCAAACCTTCCTGTCTCTGCCTCTGCATGGTGAGTACAGATGTGTGCTACCATGTTCTATGCAGGCCTTCTCCCGCCTGGGAGCCCAGGAGGCAGACGGATCGACCCTGGCTCATGGGCGTGCTGTAAGTATGGGGTTCATGGGCATGCTGTAAGTATGGGGTTCATGGGCGTGCTGTAAGTATGGGGTTCGGATCAAAAGCAAGCTCTCGGCTGGGCACGCTGGGGAAGACGCAGATTGGTCTGAAGCCACAGATCTAAAGGAACATGCCCAGGAGAGCACCGAAGATTTCAGAGAGCAAGACCCTCTTTGGGTCTTGCTTCCAAAATCTTTTTCAAAAAGTACTGGCAGGGATTCACAGTGTATTTCTCACACAGAACAACAATACAATTTGCAGCTAGCTTCCTAGGTTAGCTACAGAATGCAAGGTGGCTAAATACAGAGTCATTGACAAGAGTCAAACAGCACAGTAAGTTGCGGTATCATTTTGCATTGGTTGTAAAACTGTGGCCTGCGGGAAGTGGCCAGAAGCTAGGGAGGCATACAGAGCCCGGCTTCTGACTGCTGCAGATCCTGAAGGACTCGGAGCAGGGCTGGCTCCGGAAGTACATGTGAGGAGCAAGTCACGCCTCGGGCCGGCTCTCACAAGGTCTGTGTTTCCGAATTCCCATTTCCACCCGCTCCTCCTCCTCCTCCCCTGGCTTCTGCAGGTGCAGCGCACTCTTCCCAGACTGCCAGCTCCGCCACGGGCATCCTGACAGGCGCCGCAGCCTCCGAGGGAAGCTTGGGATTGGGGGCTCCTCTCGGTCTCCTGCAGGCCCGAGCACAGCAGCGGGCACAGCGGCGGGAGGGACGAAAGCTTCTCAGTATCCTAACGACGGGCGGAGTCAGGACACAGTACTACCAAAGCCATGCATCACACCACCAAACAACAAAGCAATGCCAGTGACGCACAGCAACCCACTTAGAGTCCGTGGACGAATCGTATCTACTCCGGCAGATCCAGAGCGACGCTGCACAGCTCCTGAGCCGGCCTCCAGTGCACACAAGGCCAGCACTGCCAACCCCCAGGCTAGAGCTGCGAAAACGGCTTCTCACGACTCAAGTACACTGACACACATACTACTTCCTTTCTTCCTGGGCTTTGATAAGCCACATCCCAGCTCCAAGGAATTTTGAGGTCATGTGGTACACTGTGGCCCAAACATAAACCTTATTTGCTTTATTCGAGAGAAAGAGAGAGAGAGAGAGAGAGAGAGAGAGGGAGGAGGAGGAGGAGGAGGAAGAAGAGGAGGAGGAGAAAGAACAGGAGGAGGAGGAGGTGGAGGAGGAAGAGGAAGGGAGGGAGGGAGGAAAGGAGGGAGGGAGGGAGGGAAGAAAGGGAAAGGAAGGGAAGGGAAGGGAAGCAAGCCAGCCAGGAGGGGTGGGGCTGCTCCCACAGCCGTGTCCCTCTTCTGGACCAGGGCCACCTGTGCACGTGCAGAAGACCTGGGTCCTTCCCAGCCCAAGTCACATCTGCATGCTGCAGCACAATGCTCCGCTCTTCAAAATGCTCAGTTTTTACTAAAAGGCAAAGAACCGGACCAGGAATGGCAAAAGCGGACAGCAGCTTCCTGAGGAACGCAGGGCGCTAACTGGCCCCCACCAGTCAGAGTGCACCTCTGGCCAGTCACGGGGACAGCGGGCAGCGGAGGAGGAGTAAGATGGCCGCTGTGGGGGTACCGCACTCAGTGCCCACCCCGCCATGCGCACATCCATGGGGGCAGCAGGGAGGATGAGGGCGAGCAGGGAAGGAGCAGGGAAGGCTGCCGGGCCGTGCACTGCTGCAGCAACTCCTGCGGAGAACCCACTGGTGGGGAAGGAGAGCGATGGCCAGAAGCAGGGCTGCGGGCAGAGCCGGCCCAGCCCTGTCTGCGGCAGCCCCTGTCTGCGCCCACGTCCCTGGCCTCAACCAGCGCCTGCCAGGCTCCGGCGCCGGGTGCCGCTGCTCCGCAGTCTTGCTCATCACTGGGTGGTTTTTGTCTCTGTCCTCAGAAACCAACCCGGCCCCTTCCCTCTTCCCGGAGATGGGAGCAGAGCCGAATATTTCGGACCATAACAGGAGGCGATGATGCGTTTTCCCCTGCGTTCACACGCAAGCTGTGCCTGGCATGTCACACAAGGCGCATGGGGACAGGAGGCTCTGCCCGAGCCCTCTGCTGACCAGAGCGCCAGGGCTGCCAGGCACAACTGTCCGGCCCCAAGTGCCCCACGCACAGCGGCTGATGTTTAGTCTACCTGTGCTACTCTTCCAGAAACTTCCCTCCCTTCCCATCCCAGCCTAGGCCCAGCGTACTTCCACACACTCACCATGATCCAGGCCCTCGTCTCCTCTGCCACCATCGCCACAACCGCAACCCCCCCCCCCCGCGAGTCTCCCGCGGTGCCGCGCTGCATGGCCAGCCGGGGGGCCACCCAGGCTCCCCCCGGGGGCCGCCTCGTGAGGACCCAGGGCCCAGCTGGCATGACAGATGGCACCACAAGAGCAGCGAGGCCCCTCCGTGACACCGGCGCTGTGGTGACACAGACAGAGCACACGCGTGAACGCACACTCACCAGGACAGGGTCAAGGCAGTCAGAAAGGTGCTGCGGGCCTCCACACCGCCCAGCCTCCGCAGCCCGGGGCCCCTGAGCCCCTCAGAGACACACAACTAGCAGAGAGCAGGCTCACAGGGCTGCAACCCTCCTGTGCCTCTTCACAAGTGTCAGCCCTGGTGGGAGATGGATGGAGGGAACGTGCAAGAAAGCCGGACCCCAGCACTCGCTGGCTCGCAGTGCTCGCGCGCCGTGCTCGCGCGCCGTGCTCGCGCGCCGTGCCGGGCTGAGGCTGCATCCCCCTGGTGACGCCCAACCTGCACAGCAACAATGCCCTGGAGGAGGGCGGGGCTCCACAAACCACCCTGGAGGAGGGCGGGGCTCCACAAACCACCCTG